CCTTACCAAACATGACATCCTTTTCCAGAGACTGGTCCCTCCTGACAATATGTCCGAAGTTTGAGAGATGAAGTTTGGCCATCCACTCTAGCTACACCTTACACCCCTGAATTCCACTTGGTCATGATTATTCTTTTGATAATGTTACTGGGTTTTGTTTTGAATTTTCTCCATCTGTATTAAGACCTGGAGTCCTAGTGTGGGGCTGTGGAAGAAAGCACTGGACTGCAAGGTCAGTTTGAACCATAAGGTCGGCAGTTCAAACTTACCAACTGCTCCTTGGAAACCCAATACAGGGTCGCTATGAGTCAGAGCTGACTTGATGGCACTTAACAACAACAACAACAACACTATTCCGCCCTGGTGTGGCACTGTAGGATAAGCACTGGACCACAAGGCCGGTTTGAACCACTAGGTCAGTGGTTCAAACTTACCAGCTGCTCCTCGGAAACCCTATCCAGGGTCACTATGGGTCAGAACCGACTCGACGGGACTTAACCACGGCATATTCATGAGGGACATTGGTCTGTAATTGTCTTTGTTAGTGGACTCTTTTGCTTGCATTAAGAAACCCTGATGACGCTGTCGGTTGAACACTGGGCTGTTAGTTACAGGGTCAGAGGTTGAAGCTCAGCAGCCAGCTACTCTCTGCAGGAGAAGGATGAAGTTGGCTGTGCCTGTCAAGATTTAACGTCTTGGAAACAAACTCCAAGGAGCCTTTCTGCTCCAGCCTGTGGGGTCCCTGGGAGACGAAAGTGGCTGGGTAGCAGAGGGTTTGATTTGTTTGCTTTTACCTGGCTTGGTTATCAAGGTTATCCTGACTCCGCAGAATGAATTAGGAAGAGCTCTGCCCTTTTCTGTGTTAGGGAATCATTTGAATAGAGTTGGTACCAACTCTCTGAATAAATTCTGGAATTCCCCAGAACAGCTGTCTGGGCTGACACTTTCTGTTGTTAGGGTTTTAAATGACGTCTTTAGTTTTTTCTTTTGATTTGGGTCCGCCCAATGTCCTATATCTCTTTGAGCAGATCTCCAGGTCTTTCTCCCTCAGAGCAGCTAGTGGGTTTGAGCTGCCAACCTTCATCACCAGCCAAGTACTTTTAACCCTTGAGCCACTGGACATCTTGGTTCTATAGAAAGATGATTATTCAGAACTGAAAATGTGACCTTTCCCTCAGGGTTGGAAGTGGTCACTGTTTTAGAAGTAGTTTACAGTAATTGCAAAATTTAGGGAGTGTTAGAAACTTCAGAAACCTTCCCAGGCTTTATTATTTTGATGAATATATAGCTGTATTATTATTATTTTTAAGGTAAAGCAATTTAGAAATTGTACCTCAGGCAGTTGGTTATAGGTGGTAAGGAGTTCTGGTAGCGTGGTGGTTATGATTTGGGCTGCTAATCTCATGGTCAGCAGCTCGAAACTCTCAATGGTTCTGTGGGAGAAAGACGAGGCTTTCTGCTCCTATAAAGATTTACAGCCTCGGGAACTCTATACAGGGTCGCTATGAGTCAGAGCCAACTCCACGTCACATAATCACCACCACCAACTTCATGTGGGAGTCCTGGTGCGGTGTCTAGGATAAGCATTGAACCATAAAGTCAGTGGTTCAAACTCACCAGCTGCTCCTCAGAAACCCTATACCAGGTCTCTATGAGTCAGAACCAACTTGATGTAGGATGAAAACCCCTAGAAGAGAAGAATAAAGGAAAAATTGAATATAAAACTGAAGTGTAACTTCTCTTAGCCAGGAAAACGTTCCTATCCTTTATTACTCTCTCAAAGTTAGTCCTGTCATTTCAGGAAGGCCCAGGGGGACATCCGTTAGGCGTTGAGTTGTTAACCTCAGGGTCTTCGGTTGTTGTGAGTTGGAACCGACTCGGTGGCTGTGGGATTCTGTGGACCTTGAGAGCACCCTGATCGTATGGGGGGCAGTGCTCATTTGCAATCTGCAAAATCCAGTGTTCAAATCCACCAGCTGCCCTGCGAGTGAACGACGTGGCTGTGAAGGTCCAGCCTTGGAAATACTGTGGGGCAGTCCCCCCACATCCTATTGGGCTGGTACGGGTCTGAATGGACTCCACAGCACCCAGTAACAACAGTCTCGCCCCACAAGGACAATGCAGAGTTCTGAAGTAACCGCGTTGGTGTTACCATATCGTTATGATTCCATTTTAGTTTTCAAATAGTAATAGCCTTTCAGGAAGAATTTTGAAGAAGTCTACCTGTGCAGAGCTAAAAGAAACCCCACCCCCATTCCGTCTGCTTCTTTTCATCTGTTTGTGTGTGCATTTTTAAATAAAAAGTTCTAGCCTACTATTAAGGAGCCCTGATAGCGTAGTGAATTTTGAGCTCGGCTGCTAACCAGAAGGTCAGCAGTTCAAATCTACCAGTCACTCGGTCGGAGAAAGATGAGGCTTTCTGCTCCCGTAAAGATTTACAGCCTCAGAAACCCTGTGCAGGGTCGCTAGGAGTCGGATTCGACTCAGCGGCACACAACCACAAGCACACCCTTCAAAACACCCTTTGTGTGTACACCCAGCGCCTCCCTTAGTAGTTCAAGCTCTCGGTGCTCAACAAATGTTTCATCAGTGATTAACTATTCTTGGAAGCCTGTTCCAACCTGCAGAGACAGACATTTTTTATTACCTGCTGATAAGGAAAGAGTCCTCTGAGCCTATAACCAACAATCTAAAGCAATAGTTAAGGTAAATCCAGTGCTGTAAAAAGGATCATTTAAATGAGAAAATATCATGAATAGGTTATGGTTTCTTCTGTTGTTTTGAATCACAATTTGAAATGTCACCTGGCTCACCTGAAAGGTACCAGTGTGGTGATGTTGGCTCAGCACTGGACTGCTAACCACAAGGTCAGTGTTTCAAACCCACCAGCCGCTCCTCAGAACCCTTTACAGGGCTGCTCTGAGTCACTCCACATACAAGAATGTGGAAGAGGCCTGAGCACCAAAAGGGCTCATTAAATGGGTTTTGGGTTTTCCTAAACTTCTCTTGACTAGACGAAGGATCCCTAGTGGCACAGTGCTTAAGTGCTCAGCTGCTAAATGAAAAGTCAGCAGTTCAAACCCATCAGCCACTCTGGGAGAAAGAAAGTCGAAGGAGTCTGGCTTCTGTAAAGATGTTGTTGCTGTTAAGTGACGTCGAGTCTGTTCCGAATCATAGCGGCCCTGTATAGAGCTTCCAAGGAGCGGCTGGTGAATTTGAACTGCCGACCTTGTGGTGGTGCGGCGTCCACGAAGGGACTGTACCACAAGGTCAGTATGTAACCACAGCACCACACCAGGACTGCTTCGTAAAGATGACAGCCTCTGAAATTCCACAGGGCAACTCTCCTCCGTCCTAGAGGGTCGCTGTGACACTGACTAGGTTTGCGGGCAATGGGTTTGGTTTGGGGTATTACCTAGAAGAGAGGGTGTGGCATGAAGGAGCTCACCTCCTAGTCTCGATTCTGCCTTTTTATTGTGAAGTACCATGGAGGACTCATAGCGATCCTGTACAGGGTATCTGAGACTGTAAATCTTTACAAGAGCAGAAAGCCCCATCTTTCTCCTGCGGAACTGCTAGTAGTTTTGAACTGCTGACCTTGTGGTTTGCAGCCCGATTTGTAACCACTATGCGACCAGAGCTCCTTCTTAGGTAGTCTCTTTGTTTCATCTGAAGTTGTGTATTTTCATTCTGAATCTAATATGTTTGAGATTTCTGGTCTAATTGGCCAAACAGAAGACCTTGTTAATAAAAGCCAGCCATAACCTCAGATGCAGTTTGATTGGTAGAAAAAATATGCGCACACACACACGAGGGGCTTCAAAAAAAATGGCATTAAAAGATAATCAAATGTTTCCACGTTTTGAACCCCCTCTTCTCTACTTGCCTTGTTTTTGTTAAGTGCAGTCCAGTTGGTTCCGACTCACAGAGACCTTGCATAGGGTTTCTGAGGAACTGCTGCTGGGTTTGAACCACCGACCTTGTGGTTCGCAGTCCAGTGTTGATCCTCCAGTGCCACACCAGAAGTCCATAGTTGCCTTAGACTGTCTAAACTGGAATTCAGAAATTTAAAATGAAAAGTTTCATGGGTTTTTTTCCCCTCTCTCTTTCTAAATTTTACTTCTTTTGTTGTTATTGAGAATATAAACAGCAAAACCTACACCAATTCAACAGGACCTCTGAAGACAGTGACGTTAATGGTATTCTGTGAGATGGACAAATGAGCTCTAGTGTGTAATGGTTCTGAGTCAGGCTGCTAACCTCAAGGTCAGCAGTTTGATACTACCAGCCGTTCCATGGGAGAAAGATGAGGTTTCTGCTCCTGTTAAGATTTACTTTACAGCCTTGGGAACCCTATGCAGGGTTACTAAAGTTGGAACCAACTCCATGGCGCACCACCACCACCTTCGAGTTGGACAACTGTTTCCCACCCTCCTTTTCTGAACCGTCCCCTTCCTGAAGGTAAACTCATTGCCCCTTAACGTCCCTGGTTCCTTTCTAGTCTCTTCTGGTCTTCTCAGCTGCCCCTTTATACAGCCCCCCCACTTCTTGTAGTAGAATTAGGGGGGCATGTGATTGACTAGTGTCACAATTGAGTCTACCCCACGATTTCACTTCACCGTCCATCCAGTGAGGAAGGTCAGCCGGAGAGGATGTGGGTCCCTGCCAGCCAAAAATACAGCCTCGGGAACTAGCGGAGCTGGCCACACTGTTCCGTTATTCAGTTATTTGGATAGGTAGTGAACAGGGGAGAATGCGACTGTTTAAAGCACCTATGTTTTTCCTTTTTAGCTCCTTTGTGTGCCTGATTGCTCTTTTGTTTTGTAGTGTGGCTGATTAATGGTCCAGGAACATGCTGAGGAGTGCAGAAGCCAGCCAGTACCACAGGTAACGAAGAGAAGAGGCCAGCGGGGCGCCTGGAGAGTGGGACGTCAGTGTTGGTTGGAGTAGAATGGGCTGTTACTGACAGACAAGACAACACTTGCGCGTGGTACTTAAACTCACCCTTGGACAGGATGGAAGAAGATGAACTGGAATGTTTAAATCCATCCTCGGAAAAACGCTATTTTCCCGAGTCCCTGGATTCCAGTGATGAGGATGGCGAGGGAGCCTTGGCCTGTGAGGACCTGGAACTGAACCCCTTTGATGGACTGCCATTTTCTTCACGTTATTACATACTCCTGAAGGAACGAGAAGACCTTCCGATCTGGAAGGAGAAATACTCCTTCATGGAGAATCTGCTTCAGAGCCAAATTGTGATTGTCTCCGGAGATGCCAAGTGTGGCAAGAGCTCTCAGGTGAGTGAAGCGCCCCGGCAGAGTGGTGTCAGTTTTAAAAATATTATTATTATGGTAAAAGATACAAAATGTTGCCGTTTTAACCATTTTGAAGTACATTATTTTGTAATGTTGATCAACACCACCATGTTGTATATCTGGTGTGGTAATGTGGGTTAATAAGCCAGACTGTAAAGCCATTTGAACTGCAAGGTCAGTGGTTCAAGCTCACCAGCCGCTCCTATGAAACCCTATATAGGGTCATTATGGGTCGGAATTGACTCGACAGCACTTAACAACAACAACATATTGTATATCTACCTCAACTGTCTGTTTCCAGAAGTTTCTCACTGTCTCAAAGACGAACTCGATGCCCCTGAAACAGTGACTCCCTATTTCCTCCTTCACCCCAACCCCTGGTAACCATTAACTTTGGTCTCTATGCCTTTGCCTGTTCTAGATATTTCCTATGTTCTTGTTATGTGCTGTTGAGTAAGTTTTGACACACAGCAACCCTGTATAGGGTTTTCAAGAGTGGCTGGTGAATCTGAACCACCAACCTATGGTTCAAATCACTGACCTTGCAGTTAGCAGTCCAGTGCTTATCCTCCAGTGCCATCCCAGGACTCCTGATAAGAGAGCTCCATAGCTTAGAAGTTAGATCCCTGGTTTGTAAGGAGTCCTGGTGAGGTATTGTAGGATAAACCCTGGACTGATAGCTACAAGGTCAGTGGTTCAAACCCACCAGTTGCTCCTTGGAAACCTATATAGGGTCACTGGGAGTTATAACTGACTTGGCGGCGGTGGCGGCAGCAGCAAAACCCCTATTTGGTTTTCTGTGTTGCTGTTGTCTGTCAGGTCCCATATAGTGCTCAAGACAGACCTTTTACTGGTTAAATGAGACTTGTTCAATTTTAAGGTGATTTCCAAAGACTTTGTTGATTTAAGGTTGAAAGATTATCTCAGGGCAATAATTTCAGAGGGTTATCCAGTCTCCATGGCTCCAAGAAATCTGGAGTCCATTCTGTTCTGTATTTTCCCCTTTGGATCAAGAGTTTATTATGGAATCTTTGATCCAAATGTTCACTAACGGTAGCCAGGTACCATCCAGTTCTTCTGGTCTTTTAGAAGCAATTAGCCACTCGGTGCATATCCTCTTCCTGTTCCTGGCTTGGTTTCTCCCTCTGCTGATCCACGTGAGAACAGGCACCAAACTTGGTGTCTCGGATGTTCTCTTGCGACCTTTTAAGCCTCCAGGTGCTACATGCAAAACTAGGAAGTAGAAGAGAAGTACCAAACACATTGTTAGGCCAGTTAACTGGGATGTCCCATGAAACTGAAGGAGCTCTGGGAGCGTAGTGCTTAGGAGTCGGTCTGTTAATCTCATGGTCAGCAGTTCGAAACTATAAGCTGTTCCACAGAAGAAAGATGAGGCTTTCTGCTCCCATAAAGATTTATAGCCTTGGAAACCCTGTACAGGGTCGCTATGAGTCGGAACTGACTCCACAGCACATAATCACCACCAGCACCATGAAACTGTGCCAGTAACTTCTTAACCGAGGCACCAAATCCCACGGGATACTTGGTAGTACATAAGCAGCCTCAACAGCTACTTTGAGTGTATGTTTGGTTTTTTCTGTCATTATAAATGCATGTATCTTTCACACAACTTTGGCAGTTCAACTTTTTACAGGTGTACAACTTACTGAGAGCAATTACAGCAGTTGGCTGCACAATTCTTCCCTTAATCAATGTGAGTTCTCCATCACTGTTTGTCCTCCTTCTCCCCCTTCCTCCTGCCCCTGGTAACCACTGTTAAACTTTGGTCTCTATACTGTTCACCTTTTCTTGCCTTTTTACATAAGTGAGATCATATTAAAGAGTTGTCCTTTTGTGATTGGCTTATTTTGCTCTGCATACGTCTGCAAGCTCCACCTATATGGTAGCAAGACTTCATTTCTCCTATTGGGTTGAGTAGTATTCCATTGTATGTATGCACCAGGTTTTGAGTATCCATTCATCGGTCAATGGACATTTAGGGTGTTCCACAGTCTGGCTGTTGTGACTATTGCTACAATGACGTTGGTGTCCAGGTCTCTGAGTCTCTGCTCTCAGGTCTTTGGGGTACATACCTAGGAGTGGAATCGCTGGCTCACACGTAGCTCTGTTTTTAGTGCTTCGTTTTGAGGACGTACTACACTGTCTACCACAATGTCTGTACCAGTTTGCCTTGATACCAGCCGTAGATAAGGGTTCCAGGTTCCCCACATGGTGGCCAATGGAATTGGTGGGTTATTTTCTTTCCTTCTTTCTCTTTATTATCTTAGCCATCCTGGTGGGAGTAAACTGGTATCTCATTGAGATTTCCATCTGCATCTCTGATAGCCAGTGACACCAAACATCTTCTCAGGTGTTTAGTGGCCATTTGAATGCTGTCTTTGGTGAAACGTCTATTCCAGTGGTTTGTCCATTTAATGGTTGGCTTATTTATCTTTTTGTTCTTCTGTTATCAGCATTTTATATATGCTTTATTTGTTGGGTTCTTGTTGGACATACGGTTTCTGAAGATACTTGTTAGCTTGTCTTTTTCACTGTTTTGCTAAAATCTTTCTATGAAGAAAAGTGTAATTTTTCTGAGGTCCCATTTATTTATTTTGTCCTTTGCTGCT